TAGTTAATAGGTTCGATAGTGGAATAAGGCTGTTAGAAGCCCGGGGCGGAAAAGTGAAATGTGGCCGTCTATCTGTTTAGAAATTGATGTATTTGTAGTTTACATTTTGCACAAAATGAATACCTAATAGAAGAGTAATGGCTGACAAAAAAAAATGAAATAATTTCGTTGATATCCTAAATACGTGTCAGAAATCATTGACAACTACATAAAACTAATTTTTCTATTCTTCGGGAACAGTATGTTTTTCTGGATATGTACTTTTCCGTACCCTTGACAATGTGTCTACAAAATTTCATGATGACCGATTCATTAGTTAAGGCGCGAAATCGACCACGTAAAACTAAATTCTTCTGTCCCTCGGGAACAATGTTTTTTCTAGATAAAAGGTACCCCATGTCCTGTTCTGTACCCCTGACAATGTATCTACAAAATTTCATTATAATCGACTAAGTAGTTAAGGCGTCAAATCGATTACATAAAACTATTTCTTGCAATCCTTCGGGAACAGTATTTGTTCTGGATAAAAGGCACTCTATGTTCTTTTCTGTGTCCCTGACAATGTGTGTACAAAATTGCATGATGATCGGTTGAGTAATAAAGACATGAAAAGCCTACAAACAAAGTTACATTCGTATTTATAATATTAGTTTGGATGTGTATAACTCCAAAGTCCAAGCTGCTTCTGTATTTACTGAACCATAATTTGGTCTTGTTAGGGATTTCATTAAAAATCACTCCTTAGAATTTGGAGGCCCCTAAAACTGGAGGCCCGAGGCGGACCGGTCGCTCCCTAACCCCCTAGAATAATAATTGAAGTTCCACTTTACAGCAACAAACTTGAAAAACCAATTGTCAGTGTCGGAAAAATTTTAACGAAATGGTCTTAAGTAGAGATTTTAAAAGACTCAGGTTAATTAGCAAATGACGTCATTATTAGTTCAATACTCCCCATTTTACTGCATTAATCGTAAGATGTTTTAGTGCAGAGTCTTATACGTTAAAACGCAAGCCGAGTTCAACAGCTTTCAGTATACATACGAGGGTTGAATAACGTCAGTTTTTTGAAGTGAAACTTCTTTACGCACGGTAAGGTAAGTTCGTTTCATGCGAGTTGCTATGTAACGAAATCATGCGACGGATCTCTTCCCCCTACTCGGCCACGTAGTCGAGTTCGTAGTGGGGATCGCTTGAGCCGTGAGCGCGCTTCAATGCAACGTTCGTTACAGGCAAGTCCGGAATGTATAGTGTAAAATTTAAATTCATAGTGTACAAATAATACCATTAAACCAATTCCTTAACACATATCCCAGTATGTTTGTGTGTTTGAAGAAGTTTCACTTCAATAGAGTGTTGTATAATTACACGTTGTATTTTTTTTTTTAAAGGACTTGTGGTTGTGTACCTCAAAAAGAAAAAAAGGATTCTTATAACATCACTTCATTGTCCGCTTGCCTGTCTGTCTGCCTGCCAAGACCCTTTTTCTCGGGAAAGCGTGGCGGTATCAAATTTAAAATTAATATCAACTCCTCAAACCTGCAGTCCCCTGGAGCTGTAAAACAATCAAACTTCTAAGTTAACGCAATCAAAAGATACGGCCGCATATTTTGACACTAGCACGGGAATCAAAACCTGTACGGTACTTCCCGTTGACCTAGAATAATGAAATTGGGCAAGAAGCATTGTTTTATAGTACAAGTAAAGGAAAAAAATCCGGAAATCGTAAATTTCATCATAAGGTTGTCATGCACGCCACTCCCTCCTATCCTCAGCTAATCTTCGAATTTCCCTAAAACTAGAACATCTCACGTCCTTAACTGTTTGCGAACAGTAATCTAATCTAGGTCTACCTCTACTCCTCTTAACTCCTATTTCTGTCTCTAATATGTCTCTGACTAGCCCTTCATGCCTGAGAAGGTGTCCTATCAACCTACCTCGACTATTTCTTATCGACTTCTACAAAATCCTCTGTTCATCTATTCTTTCTAATACCTCCTCATTTCTAACCTTCTCTATCCACAGTATCCTCATCATAACACCACATTTCGAATGCTTCTAACCTTTTCTTATCAATAATATAATTATTATCGTTTTCTTCAGCGAATCGAAGCGATTGATTTCATCCCCAAATTTCTAATTTGGTAACAAAAGATGGAATATTATTATATTAATTATTTTTCAGGTAATTCGTAAATCTTCACTCGTACCGTAACCGAACGTGCCGGCATTTGAAATGCAAAACGTTTATCATAGCGACTAACGGTAGTCATTTATAATACAATTCTTTAAAGAACCGTCGGTTATACGGTTTTTGTACAAGTTGCTACTGTATTATCTATCTGTTGTGCACTTCGTGTTTAATAATAATCTGAAATTCTTTACTAAAAAACGGTATTGTATGTTATTATTGTTATTATTCTGGCGCCAGAACGTGTAGGAAATTCTCTATTACTATTAGGAAGAAATTCTATAGTTTGAAAAGGATCATAAACTTAATTTATGAATGCACTTAAATATACCGGGTAATTTTGAAAAGGTGAACGGTATTGTGCGACAAATTGTATTCTGGGATTGAATAACAGCTATTTTTACACTTAACGGTGCCCTTTAGGTACTTTACTTCGCCTTCCCAATTTGACCTAGATATTGATACAGATAGACGTACGGATCTCACCCTGTCTAGTGTGTAAGCTTGTGACATTCGGAAGACCGCATCAAATTCTATATAGTTCAAATTACATAGTTCGCTAATGAGAACATCTAATACGGACCATTTATGGTATACAACCTCCCGTATCTAACGGTATGACATGCATCTTTTTGCATTTTAAGCGCGCCACATGACCCTGCTTCACTGACTTCAACCTACAGTTCGTGTTATGTCACCGGTTAGCTTTTCTCGAACGAATCAACTTGGTCTATCGAACCAAGAAGGTTAACGTGACCATGTCCTTTTGAGAAATTGAAATATGCCCTTACCAAAGTAACCATTAATCGCATAATAATATAACTTCATCGAAGTGTGAATTTGACTATTCGTACATTGTCAAATACGAAGGTAATACCAAAAGTAAGCGCTGGGGTAGCAGGGTAATTTTTGGTACTAGTACGGTTATTGCTCACACTGTCGTGTTTGTTGTTTATTCCGCATTCAAATAAGCCATCGCTTAGCTTGCTGGGACGCCTCCATCTTAGCTCAGCAGCTGTTTGTAATGAAGCTCCTGCTTACCGCTACCGCCAAGTGGGCTTTTCTACTGTTTACTCGAAGGAGATTCGTATACAAATAGTTGGTTTAACAGGCATAAGAGGCGACAAAAATTGGTCACCTCTTACGCCTCCTCCATCAACCGTTCTGTGAGAGTGAAAAATACTACTTATTCGCATAGAATAGCCCTCAAAAATTCATTAAAATTCATCAATAGTATACCAAAATGTATGGAGAGTCATGCATAAATGTTAAAAACTTTGGAAACTTTGAATTGTTGAAATATCGGAAGATGAGTACCTCAAGACACCAACGGCAACGAATCTCTTTGACGCAATAAAGGTAAAAAGAACAACTTCTTGGGCCGCATGATTCACCATCAACATTGCTGAATTTTGGCAGATGTAGTCTCCAATTGCAAATGGCACCTTGGGTGTCGAAACGCGTTTTTTGGTGGAATTTTGGATTTCAGTGTTTTATCTAGAGCAAAATTTAACCGTACGTGAATGGGTTTAAAAAAGATAGAAAAAGCAAGAGTCCGCTGCGCTATGAGCGACCGCACATCAATTCCAGTGTTGTTAGTTGTCAAACACAAAACGTAAATGAACGCTCTTTTATTGCTCGTGCCATAATAGTCGTTTTCTAGTTCTTTTTACTTTAATTGTATAAAAACAGACATTAATATTTCGGATGTGAATTGCCTTTCTTCCCGAGTCGCCATACTCCGGTACGGAAAGTTTCTCTGATTTCGGGGCGAAAGTGTAACTTTACCTCCAATGCAAGAGATTGTATTTATTGTTTTTTAGGAAAGTATTTAAACTTTCGCCGCGTGGAATCTAGAAACCATGCGAAACATGATAAAATACTTAGGGAAAAATATCGTACTTTCGGTTAGGGAATAGTACAAAAGAACTTAAAATAGAAAATACAAATAGGTGTGTTGCATTTTGTATTTTTCTTTTAAAATAGAGCTATTCCAAATAAATCACATTTGTGGTTTTGAGATAAATGTTTTTTATTTTTCAGGGTAAGTTCATCTCCATCTTCATAACTCTGTTTTCTCATAGATTCTACGAATGTACATGTAAGTTTTGTCATATTTATTCCTCTTTCGTCACTCTTTCCTGAATTGAATATAAAATTCGTAATACTAGAAAAGGTAGTCATTACTTCATAACGATTCATGCTAACAAACGAAGAGAGAGGATTGAACAATTGCCGTCATTATGACCATATGTTTGCCTCTTGCTGACACAGAAATCGAGATTTTGATTTCATGCCTTAATAACCTCATTGCTCGCAAACTATAAGTTCATTCCGTTACAAAACTGTATTATTAATTTAAGAGCCAATATTTAATGTTTAATAACAGGAAAGCACAATTAGAAAAAGTTTTACTTCATAATAGCAGGTGCTGATTACAGTTTAGATGGAACTTACAGATATATGTATGGTATCATCTCCAATTATGTATATGATTTTTTATTCGCAAAACTAGATGAAGTCGATCAAATTTATAACATCGACATAATTTTATTAATTCTAAATGTTCACTTTCCATATGTGTTTTTCTTTAAAGGTTTCTCCAATTAATATAGGGATAATCATCCCCCCTTTCTATAGGGCTCAGTGGCTTATGGATGCAGAAACATATGCCACATAAATTTCTTCTTTTTTGTATGCGAATTGTTTTGTTATTGAGGAGTCAACATTTTTTATTTCTTTAGGGTTGACTTGACCCGAAATAAAACCCACTAACATGAAAACTAGAAAGATCAATACGTAGAAAATTCATTTCCCTCGTCGGGAATCGAACCCGGGACCTTTGGCTTTATGCACCAATGCTCTGACTACTAAGCTACGAGAGATGACAACAGCAACACTTTTTTTTGTTTATATTATTCTCGAGGAGGGGAAATCTTCAAAAGACTCCCCCTGAAGGGAAGTAGTGTCGGATTCTTACCGACTAAAACCCCTCGTCGAGCGGGGAGCAACAGCAACACCGACAAACCCGTATTATATATTATATATGAAAAACTTTGGCATTTTTTTAGGAGTGGTTACTTTTTAATATACGATAAAATATTCATATGAAAATTCATTTGTCGAATTTTTTACCCACTACATGACAACAGCAACAATTTTCTCTCATTAACTTGAGGTAATTTGTAGTAGGTAAAAAATTCGACAAATGAATATTCATATTAATATTTCATATTAAAAAGTAACCACTTCTAAAAAAAGTGTTTCATACATAGTATATATAGTTACATTAGTTCGACAGATCTGTGATCCTAATAAGTATGGTTTGTCGTTGTTGCTGTTGTCATCTTTCATAGCTTAGTGGTAAGAGCATTAGTGCGTAAAGCTAAAGGTCCCGGGTTCGGTTCCCGGCCAGGATATGACAACAGCAACAATTTTTCCTCATAAACGTGAGGTCGTGGGTAAACAATTCGACAAATGAATTTTCATATTAAAACTAACCACTTCTGAAAAAAAGTTGTACTAAAATGCCTACATCATGAAAACCTTCAATCATTAATTAATTCTATAGTCGTTGAATTCAACATCAATGCGATTGGTTCTTATTATGTTTGGGGGAGTAAGTAAAAAAATATTTATGTATGCATGTCCTTTGACCCTGAATCGTGTCCTGTTTGAATGAAATGGATGTTTTTAAAGGTTAACGTGATGATTTCACGAGATCGGTTTCTTATATTTACATAAAGGAAAGAGAATATACTATGTGAAGAGAAATCAAATAAATTAATATTCGCACTCAACATGAAGCGTGGTTTTCTCAAGCACTTTTGTTTTCTTCATGCAATAAATTTATATATTTTACATGTTTCAACGCGTTTACTGCATCTACTATACATTTTGTACATTATGCTGTGGCAAAGCATGCGATAATAAAACAAATGAGACAGGATATAAAAGCATTGCAAATGGCGATACTAAAAATCATGGTACACATTACACATAACATATTACCTCCTAAAATTTATTAAGTTCTCCACTAAATGGAAGTTCATAAATTAGGTACATACAAAAGAGTCATCAACTGAGCACAATAAAATTCCGTTTTAACACTACTTTCCACTATTCTGAAGTTACAAAGATGAACTACGACACGTTTAATGTTTCAACTGGTTATTTATTTAAATATTCAACAATTGCTTTAACTCCATCGGCCATTTTTAAGAATATAGATCTAGAAAATGTAACTAATCGTAATCAACAAAAATATAAATATGATAAATAGAGTTAAATTCGATACAGAGTTGTGGCTTTTGCCGATGAAAGATTTCAGATGTAAACGGGTGCCAAGTTCCGTATAGTAAGGCGTAGTCGAATTACATTTGTTGATATTGAATTTATAACTTGACAAGTCGACAATAATTTAAGTTTAACGTGATAAATATAAAACTTGTCATGTTATAAAGTCAATATGGAACTTGGTACGAAAATTTTTTTGCCCGCAAAACGACAAAAATGCAAATTTTCGGCGCTCTTGAAGTCAAATTGGTTAGTACATAAAACTAACCGCTCCACTAACGCAATAACATTGTCAAAAATCGATAATTTATAGTTTTTAGGATTATTCTCTTGTTTATACTTAACGATCTACATTGATGACAACATTTAAGTTTCTATAAATTAGAAGTGATGTAAATTTTTGATGAGTCCTTGAGTGAATGATAAAAATTAGCACTTTTCGAACCTTAATAACCGGTGTTGCAATAGACCTCTACTTCTGCTTCTGTTTCCGCAATTACAGAAGTTCTGCATAGTTTTTCTGGATCGTTTCTGCATCTGATTCCGCATATTTATAACGGAAGCTTCCCGAAGCTTTACAAAATCTTATTTCTCATCTTTCTTAAACTTCTCGCTATATCGGAACAATAAAACGTGTCGTAAAAATTTACTACTTTTATCTGTTGGCTGAACTTGATCGTTTTCAAAACAGCTTTTAGTGACCCCACTGTAACAGTTTATGTTATGAAGTGTTAGCAACAATATGTAGCGTTATAGCCGGCAAAATATTATGAATAATAATATTGTCCCTAATATGCAAATAACTTTATTATATTTTGGTCGATGTAGTCGTGGTTTTTCGGGCTTTCTGGCCGTCGTCTTTCAAGGTTTATCCTCGACGTTTTGGCGCCACGCACGGACGACATCTTCAGGAGATTTTGCTGCTGTTGCTGCTGTGGTCAGTAGAGATATGATATATCAACTGCATTAAAATTTCAGGAATTGGCAAAAATTTTTAAACTCCTTAAGTTTTATTAATATAAATAAATCATAAATTTGCTAAGACCTAGTTTACAAAAATAGTCGTTTACAGGTCAAAAAACTACCCCTTATTTTGGATTATAAACCTAAATCAAAGAAAAAAATAGTGACTGTATGTAGAAGGTTTTATTTATTTATAGGGTAAAAATACAGGATGATGATCTATTGGTGGATTTCATCACATAGGCATTGTGAAGATCATAGGATAAAAAGGAATTTCGAAGTTGTAACATATACAGAAAGGTGTATTGGGAAGTGTTTCTCTTGTTTAATGAATTTGATAGTTAATTTTGCAGTCAAATACGTAGCTGCTATAATATGGTACCTCGGTACATAGTACAATGAAATATGAATACTGAACCCTGATATATAAAATACGTCCATTACCATTCCTAAAATGTCATAATAAATATATCAAATGTCGTCAGGCATTGTAAACTGTAAGTTTCTATCCACTTTTCTCATCTTTTCAGAAGTAGTTATTTAAAAAAATCTTGTATGAACATGTGTTATCATTCCATATCCAAATAAATTGCAATTTATGATTCATAATTCAATATTAATGGGTAGTTTTTACCGTATATTGACTGTCTTTGTAAACTAAGTCATAACAGATGTATGCTTTTCTTCGTATCAATAAAACTAAAGGAGTTGAAAATTTGTGGTCAATTAGGTACTGCAGTTTAATGTTGTATAAGGGTAGTTTTCACCCCTCCCCTTACAGGTGTGTTTCAATTACTTTGTATAAGCGCGGCACAGCCCGACACTTGTTCAAATATTTACAGATTTTTCGATATTACATTTGGATCTTGCATCGAAAAATTCTGGGAATGTCGTATATATTTTTTGATACCACAACGTCAAATGCTGGATATTCAGCGTGCTCCCATCGTTAACATTAATAGTAATTTGGCATTTAGTTTAAAATAAAATTTAATGGCGAGAAAACAGGCGATTTTCAGCCTATTTTTGCTGTCACTTTTTGTATATGTTACGTGCAGAGGTTTTGAAGAACTATTAAGAAGTTCACGAACTACCACTTGTACACACGCAACAATATTTTAGTTCTAGGCTTAATCTTTCAGATAAGCACGTAGATTTATCAATTAAATAATATGAATAAACACCGAACACTTATTTAAGTTGAAGTAACTTCGTCGGTTTTTATTTATTCAATTGAGTGAGGTTAGCCTACGGCAACACTTATTTAAGTAAAAGGCAAGGTTTACTTCGTTAACCGTTTATTTTAAGTTTCAAGACTACACTAACTAACTAATTTTGGGGTAGGCCCTTTTATTCTTATTCGTGAAGGACTTTGCTTACGTCACTCTAATTACAGTTAGAAAATAATATCATTATTAATACCTATACGTAACATATATCTACAATTGCTTTAGTATTAAAAGATTGAAGGATTATTGTAAAAATTCAGAAAGTGACGGATTTCAAAACGATATATTATAATTGCAATTTAAAAACAATTATTATGACAAAACCGTAGAAATAGAAAAAATTCAAAGGATTTTAATATGCAACAATATTTTTTGCGTTTTAAGTGAAAATGTTCAACATTTTCTTATTTTTACCGACAAAAAGAGCAGGCAATTCAGTTTCCGTAATACTTGAGCGCTCTTTAAGTCACTTTCGACAAAGTTGAACTAAGTATCGAATTACTCTAATAAATTTAAACACTTGTACGAAACAATAAAACCGTATCGTGCCAATTTATTTTATTACGACGGAATTTTATTTCGTCTGCGTACTCGATTAGCTTTATCGAAATTGTTAGTCGTCGTGGTGAAGTAATTAGGGAAACTAGATCACCGCCCAATAAATCAATCAATTAGGTCATTAGTTTACATATAACGCAAAAGCATTTCAATATAACCACTTCGTATTCAATTGCCGGCTTGAAAGCGAACGCTTCATTAGTTTCTATTGAGAAAAGATACCATTGATACTTCGATAACAAAACCGAACGTCTCTATTTAAAGAATCACTTCTTAATGAAAGCTTAAAAACTGTTTTTGTTATCAAGAAATTTAGATGTCTCTTTGATATCTTAATTATTTGAAATAACTAAATACTTGAGAAAAGTGTTTGTCAACTATTAGAGTTAAGAGGAAATGGAAATGAAAATTTACTTCCTATTACATTTTGTATTTCCATACCTTCTTCTAATCGCACTCCTCTATAAATTAAAAAAAAATTTTTTTGGTTTCGAATTATTGTTGTTTGTCTAAATTTATTTTCATCCTATTCCCATTGTCCAGAAAATTTATTGCAGTTAATAGTTCTAATTCATTATACATACGTAAGTCATAGACTTATAGATCTCTAGGTTGATTTAAGGAGTCGATTTTCAATTATAGATCTCCTTCTGGAAAAAATCGTGCAGGTTATCCTGACAGTTTCCGATCATTAAACAAATAATGACTTGATCATCGATTTATGACTACTGCGATTGTTGCAATTTATATAACAGAACTCGCGCAGAAACGTACATCTGACTTGCAAAGGCAGCGTTGACAATGGCAAACTTCTATGTCAAAAATGTCATTATTGTTAC